CAATGAACCACTAAATATTCAATGACATCTCTTACCACCTCAGAAGGCATAAGTCAAGCCACATATACCAACAAATCTCATTTTTCCATAAAGGCTGCTTATTATATATGGGATGATGTATCCATATGGGGCTGCCATATAGGCTAATTGGATAGTACATATTGTGCTGTCCATAACCCTATATTAGGTGTCCCCAACAATTGCCAAAATTAATTCCATTTAGTTTATCGAGTTTTACTAGATTATCCATATTCATTTTTTCGTTTTTCACTAGACATATGATTAAAAAATAAATAAAAGCATATGCTTTTATATGTGTGTATGTGTGTGTGCCTATATATGTGTGTGCGTGTGCATGTGCGTGTGCGTGTGCGTGTGCGTGTGCGTGTGCATGTGCGTGTGCACGTGCATGGTGATATCGAGTGGCTATATTGTTGGGCAAAAATAATGTTTCTTCCTAGCTTGTAAAAAGGCATCTTTTTATCCTTTTTTCTTTTTTCTTCTCTTAAATTTTTATCCTTCAGTTATTGCTATTTAACCTAGGATTTTAAACCAAAATAAATTTTATTCTATCAAGAGCATGACTATTTTAAAAGAGAATACATATAACTTTCCACAAGTGTGTTTTTAACCATAGGAGTAGCACCATAAAAGAAAGAATTTTGAGGATTTTCCTGACCACGTACAAACCTCTTTTGCCAACTCCACAAGCCCATCTATCTCAAGATAACCCAAGAGACTTGGGCTGAGATATGTGTCTTTCTTCTCATCAACAAAGAATAGCAGGCCTCACTTATGAAGTACATCACCATTCGTGCTTTAGTTTTGGCGTTCTTATTCTCTTTATAGTTAAGGCAGCAGTGGATTTTTCCCCCCTCTCCCTAAGCAAATGGTTTACGAGAGCTATTACTTAATCTAAATAAACCACTAAGTTTGCTACCGATTTCTCCATGCAATTTATTTATGCTTAGCCTATATTATAGATCATTGAGATGTGATGTTTGGGGAAAAATATCTTAAGATGGAGAAGCATCTGGGTTTAGCCTTTGCTACGCGATTTAGCATGCTGAAATATCAGTCCAATCAGAATTGGTTTAATGGGATCATCGATCTTGAAATTTATGGTTTGAATGGTTTGCTGGATATTGATTTCTTGCATGCTAGAGAAATCAACTGGGTTTTTTACATATATATCTAAATATTCATAGTGGGTCAGTATGATTAAGTACAGATCTTCATGAACTATGGACATAGTTGATTCATTAATGATGAAGTCATCTAGCACTGAGTTTGCCTCTATGGAACCTGAACAAAGTCGATAATACAAAAATTCATTGAAAAATCCACAACGAGTGCCTAAATCTTCCCAGTCTAGATGATTTAAGAAAGACCCAGTAGCATTAAGTGTTACTTCTGATAAGCTCATACCCAGCTAAGGTATCCATCAGAATTCTAACTTCAACTAAAGTTGAGTTCACTTTCACCTGTATAGTGTCAGCTATTCATAACAACCACTTGAAGTATTTTAGAATACTGCAATCACTTATGTGAATCAAGTTGATGGCTGCGGATTACCAGCTCCACGATCATTAAAGATGATTTTAACATTAGAGTGGCATATGTGGATTATATTTGAAGTTTTTTGAAGGTCATTTACATTAATTTGCTCCAACCCTGGTTTATGCAACACCAAAAGACAGGGCATCCTTTATGCAAGAACTTCCCCAAAAATAAAGATGTTTATTTCCTTCCATACAAGAAAAACCAACAACATAATACCAATCCTTATTGGCTCCATTTGATTTCTAGCCCACCTGCAGTCAGACGTAACCCAAGAATTAGTAAACAACTAAAGCATATTAATGTGATGAATCAAAATCCAGTCCACTGTCTCTTCGTACTCCCCTGATTGTGACGGACGAAAGATGGCCTACTATTTCTTCATACTCCCAAGAAGGAATACATGTGCTAAACCTTCTCTCCATTGGGGATGAATGTATCATAGATGATCACCTAAACCAAACTTCTGGCTAACTAAAAAAACGTGAATTGTCTATCTAGAATAAGTATTGTGAGGGCAAATTAGTTCAATACATCATAGAAGAGCCATTAAGACTCTGCAAAATACACAATTAAGTTCCATCAGATTCCTAAAACTAATCACATGGCCAAGTTAAGCTCCATCCAACTACTGCTTTATCCCACAACTATGCCCCCACATTCCTAGGGCGGCGCGTTTTTCCTTTTTTCTGTTTTGTTTTATTGCTTTTTATGGGTAGTTCAGTGGAAGGAATCGAACTTGGGATATAGCGTTGCTAATGTCAACTGCTAGTCACTCAAGCCCAAGCCCGACTCTTGACCTAGTGTTCACACAGAGGTCAAGATCATTGTTGATCAATTACATGCACAAGGCTTATGCTTGGCCAATCTCACAAAAGCCCATCTCCATATTGATAACCTAAGCCTTACATGACCAACATGCATAGGCCAATTCTTCTTAAAATGGTTGTAGAACACATCATAACCAAGCCATAACAACTAGAACCAAGACACACCACACAAGTTGAATCGTAATTGTAGCTAGCTTGGGTTACAAATAAGCAAATTATAACAGATGGAAGTATTATTTTAGTCTTCCTAAAATGGTTTAAGATCACATCATAACCAAGCCATAACAGCTAGAACCAAGACAAACCACACAAGTTGAATTGTAATTGTAGCTAGCTTGGGTTACAAATCAGCAAATTATAAAAGATGAAAAGCATTATTTTAGTTTCTTGTATTGGATGTGCTATGATTAGTAATATGATTTGTAGATTCCTCATGCATACCAATCCTACCCACAGATCATTGAGATAGAAATCAACAAAGTAGGTTGCACATATGCTCTAACAATACATGAGCATGTGAATGCAACAAGTGCACCCACCTGTTGAAGACTAGGTTAGGGAAATAGTACATGGTATAAAAGTTGCAATGACAACATATAGAGAATGTTAGTGGCTAAAGTAATATTTGGCAGCACATAGAAAGCAATACTACATTTAAATGGTAATATTTCCAAAAGGTGTAGGAAGAAACGCTAAGTTTATGTGCACAAGCAATAAAATTCATTGAAAAAAACAAAAGAGACATGCACAAACAATTTATGATCAAGAATAACATACACTTAAGAAAATAAATGTGATGATTATAGGTTCAGAACAACTAAAAATCAAGTTAATGTTTCAGTCAGTCATGTTAACCCATTTTAGCATTTCTATCTTGTGGAAAAGATAGGTGATCCAAAATACACAAATGTATCAAGAATAACATACACAAAGACTGCCGCCATTTTCGTTCTATAAAATTACTATGATCAAATACTTCATTTACAAGCCGTGTAAAATTACTATGATCAAATACTTCAACATGCTTTTCTTACCTTCTATTTGATAAGTTTTAATATGTTGAGCTAATCTGTATGATAGCGGAAGCACTGGTGTAGAAACAGTAGGGCAACGAAAAGCAGCTAAAGCCTCGATGCAATGCAAGAAACATATATGAGTAAATTTAGGCAGCAACTTCTCATTGGAAGCTATGAACATACGCAGAAACACACATCCAAGTGAATGAAACTATGTTTAGTCTGGGAGTACCATACTATAAACTTTCATTATAAATGATTGAGAGGTCACCTAGCTAATGATGTGAGTACAATTTGGACCACCAGTAAAATAAATAAATAAATAAAAACAGAATGAGTACATTCTACACCATTTCAGGGCACCTTCATTATGCAGAACATTGCATGCAAGGACTCCAGAATGTGTTATTCAACACCTTTGGTGGCGTTAAACAACTTAAAGGGGTATGACTTAGAGAACAGCATACGATATGATACCTAGAGAGTTAATTTGGTGGATGTAAAAAAAAAAAGAGTATCTAGATGATATATTGATAAGGTGAGAGATATATAAGAAGGAGTGCTAAGTAGTGTGAAAACAACTAGTGGAGAGACAAGTAAGTTTTCAGTGACAGTAGGCCTACATCAGGGGTCGGTGTTGAGCCCTTATCTCTTTATTTTAGTTATAGAGGAGTTATCTAGGCATCTGCAAAATGAGACACCGAAGTGTATGTTAATGGCAAATGACATAATTTTGATAGAGAGACTAGAAGCAGCGTCAATGCAAAGTTAGAACTTTCAAGGGATGCTCTAGAATCTAAAAGTCTTAAAATTAGCAAGATTAAGATAGAATATATAGAATGTAAGTTTAGTAATACTACGAGTAGAAATGAAGTAGTAGTTAAGATTACCTCAAAGAGATTAACTTGATAGCTTGGGATAATAATCCAGGAGAATGGAGAGATTGAGGAAGATGTCGCGTATAGAATTAGAGTTGGGTGGGCGAAGTGGAGATGAATCTGGAATTTTATGTTAACATCGTATACCAATAAAACTAAAAGGGAAGTTCTATAAAATAGCTGACTGGCAACACTTTATGGGACACCGTTGGGCAATCAGGAAACAACATATCCATAGGATGAGTGTAGCTAAGATGAGGATGTTGAGATGGATAAGTGACAAGACAACAAAGGATAGAATTTGGAATGAATACATCCAAGGGAACTCAGGGGTGGCTCCAATAGGTGATAAGATAAGGAAAAATAGACTTAGATGGGCTAGCTATGTGCATCATTGACCTAATACAGCACCAGCTAGGAGGGGCAATTTGTTTGCTTGTTTGATTGCAAGAAAGAAAGATTGAAAAGCACATATAATACCAGTAACAAGCAATTAGAATTGTACAACAAAAACTAGAACTAGTAGACTTGTAAAATATGAACTTTGACTCTGGAGAAAAATTCAGACAAAATTGATATCAAAACATATTTTCTTTTTTCTATTGGACCTAATTCATCAAAACATAATTTTCATATCAATCCCTAGAAGAAGACATCTTAGGCAAATTCATAGCAATTCAAAAGAAATTCAAGACTATAGATGAATACAGACTAACCCCATTGGTAGCTCTCGCTTTGTCTCTCTTTGATAGAATTCCAATGCATTTGAAATCTCCATCAACAACAGGAAGGCCCGATACATATTCAAAATGATGTTCAATCTCCTCCAAAGTCTGATCCACAGTAGCAGAGTGAATGGCTGTTGACATGACATCGCCAAGTAAAGCAGATGGTTTCATCTACATCAACCATTGAAACCCAACATAGAATTTCCATCCAATGATCGATAAACACAAATAAAAAAAAATGCAAAAGAAGGAAAGTTGGCATGGAGTAAATATTTAAAGGGAAGAAAAATTTTAATTCAGAAAATCAGAGCATGACCTCTTTCAGAGAGAGAGAGAGAGTCAGAGCATGTAACTGAAGACACAAAAAAGGAACATGTAAATTAGAAGCAAGAGACTCAATGAAACCAAAAAGGAACATGCTTACTTTCCTCCATACACCAATGAAACTGAAGGAGACAAAAAATGAACATGTAAACTAGGAGCAGTATCAATACGAAGGAAAGTAGGCATAGCAGAAAATATTCACCCAAAAAAAAAAAAAAGAAGAGAGATTTGATTGAAGAAAATATTCAATTCAGAAAACAGAGCATGAAACAGGCCCATGGAAGTGAAGGACAAAAAGGAACATGTGAACATTGGATTTGTATTAATATCATCTAAATGAACAGATATTTGAAAAGATAAATATTTCATAAAATAGGCCCACAATTATAAAAAAGAGGGGAGATAATGCAGGAATCAAGAGAACTGGAACAAAAAAGGAATATGCAAACATAGGTAGTATCTATGTGATCTAAGAACTTTTTAAAACAAAAAATTAACTGAAATTGAAAAAGAAATTCACTTCTTAAACAGACCCACAAAGATTAAAAAAGAGCAGGAGAATGTAGACGAAGGACATGTGGAGATCATGCTCTCATAAAAAGGTTCAGAGAATCTAGAGAGAGAGAGAGAGACAGAGGAGTAAAGAGTGAAGATCAAAGTTACTATTGACACAAAGAAGGAAAAAGGCTTACTTGTCCCCTTAAAGAATTTCGCTCAGAGAAAGAAATAAGTAAAGGCTCACCTTTTCTTTGAAGATCTTAGGCTCGAGATAAGCTCTCAAGTCTTCATAGCTGAGGAGCGAGAAATTCTCAGGCCATTCCCCTGATAATATCCCTTCTGGGTTCTCATCCAGATCCACTCTATCTCCTGAAGCTCGAACCAAATTCAGAGAACCTCTTCTCACAGAGCTCACTCTTCTCCGTGTGAACAAGGCGGGTCTAGAGAGAGAAACTGTTGATCTAGAGAGAGAAATTGAGCTCCCACTGCTGATTTTGCTGGAAGATGAAGAAGAAAAGAGTGAAGAAGGGACACAAGTTCCATGAATCGACGCAGACGCCATGAATGATCGATGGTTAAGAGCAGTGCCACTCTCTCTTTCTAAATAATTGGTCTTCTCGGCAGCATTCAAGACGTGGTGGCCCCGATTGATTACCAAAATACCCTTGGATTCTTTAAGTTGCCGATGAGCACGCATCCTATACTCCCTCGGGGACATGAGTTACTTTTAGAGTAATTTTTTCACTACGAAATTTTTGGTAATTAAGAAAGAACAATTACACCCAAAAAAACGACGGAAAATTATATATATATATATATATATCTGTTATATGTTGTGTTATTAGGGATATTCCAAATAGTTTTTATTATTATATATATATCCGTTTTTACTTTTTATATAAATTTTTTTTAAAAAGATAACTTTGCCTTTTTTCGGATGTTGAATAACCGAATTGAAGGGTTTTTTGGATGTTCAGCATCAAAAAATAGGTCGAAAGTTTAACGTTCACACTTTCATTTTCGGGTGTTGAACATCCAAATTGAAGGGTTTTTCAGATATTCAACATCCGAAAATGGTTTTGGATGTTGGACATTCTTAAATGTCATATTCTCGGATATTCAACATCAGAAAATATGACTTTGAATTTCTAAAAAGTCTCTGAAATTTCATCGTCATTTCGGATGATGAACATCCGAAAATATGATG